TTTCCAAAGAGTCCTCTCTTCACATTAGGTGACCAAAGTATCTGAGCTTGAGCTTCATTATCAACAAGGTATTATATTACAGCATATTTCATCTTTCCCACTTGTTATTATCTTGCAAAGAGGCTCTTGAGAAATAAATTACGCATTTATAAATGAGAACAGGTCAGTAGGACCATACCAGAGATCAACTGCCACCAATTTATCTTTACAAATTCATCAAGAAAGTAGTTAATTTACCTGTAACTAGTTGTATATAGCTAGTCAACTTTCTAAGTTTTCCATGTATGACTCCCCCCCCTTCTTTTCAGATAATTCAAAACAATTCAGTGGTTGGGTCCACACATAATGCTAAGCTAGAGTTTGTTTTAACCATGATTTGTTGAATCAGCCAATGGCTGAAAGAACCACACATCATGCTAAGCCAACATAACACAACATACATTAGTATGATATGTGATCTAAGCCTTTACCTCTTCATTTCTCCAATCTGGTAAGAACTATGCTAAACAATGCTCAGCTGGAGCAGACAAAAAGTCAACACTGTGTTTTTTAAAGATGTAACGTTCCAATGCAAGCTGTTTGATATAGCTATGCAGTTCCTGGGTACTGTGCCTATACAAAGGCTTCTAGAGCAAAAAGATTAAGATGCCAGATGATTCTTACTTAACTCACTGACTCTCAATTCAGAATATCACAGGCCATTAGAGCATAATAGCAATCTGTTATGTCTGACGCCTGCTGTTACAAACGTGTTACTTTTAAAAATAATTTTGGTTTGACAATCTCGGTATCTGCTTCTTGTCTTGTCCCAAAAAGTCATTTTGCCAAAGAGGGCCTGAATGCATATCAGAAGGATTTTTTGAGGTCATATAACTGCATGAGGCAAGTTGCCTCTTTAGTGGGTTTTTATAGGGCAGAGTGAAAGAACACTGGTTTAGAGCACATTCAAGACAAAACGCCTACTCACTAAGAGGATTTATAAAGAAAACTCTTCTATAGGGCTAGAATAGACCCAATGCATAAAACACACAAAACAAAACGCACCTATTCTAGGTCTGTTTCAGAGGACTTGGGGAACAACTAAGGGAGTGGGAGGTACCAATCCCGCACCGAGGCTTAGAGCTACTGATTAACTATCCCTCTCCCACTACATAAATAATTATTCTACCCTTGTCCAGCCTCAATTCCATTCTTCACATTACTACACACACTTCACACAACTACACACTAAAAGGAACAGTGTTCTTCCTACTATTGTATCCCCCCTCAGAGACAAATTGGTTAGGGATTAAAAGGTCATTTAGCAAGCTAAATCAATACCACAGAAAACAGGACCTGCAAACCTTTACAGAGGAATTTTTTTAACCAACTGTACCATTTAACCATTTATTTAATTACAGTCAATGACTGGAAAGATAAACTTGTGCCTTTTTTAAAAAAAGAACTGAATAAGCTGAAATACAATGGAATTTAAAAATAAAATAGAATAAAATAGAATAATTTCTTCACAATGTCCCCACCCTAAGATTCGAAGATCTTACATCTTTTTATAGAAACGGCTGCAGATAAAAACTTGGCAGCTCTATGAGCGTTGGTAGGGTTTCAATGCTTTACAGTTTGCAATGTTAGATGCGAAGTACAATGAAACTCCATTCACCACAGGACGCTGCCTTTGCAGTCATAATTATTTATTTTTTTCACTGTCCCTTTTATACCTACGGGCATACTTTTGCCTCCACCCAACAACCGCCTTATCTGTTATCAAGGAGAGGCGGTTGGTTTCTCACAGTCCGATCAGAAACCTACCATCACTAATCAGCGCATGTTTATTGATCTTTTCTCCCCAGAGCTCCTCAAATTCCGATCCAACATCTGGTCCCTTGAGCATTAAAACCAGAATGCCTTTGAAATTAGGTGCTTCTGGGGCACTGAGACCCACAAGTGGGCTCAGAGTCCTGAAAAGCACCAGGAAGGCCGATGGAGGGTGCTGTAGACAGAAACGCGCCCGAACAATCTCGACCACCTGCTGAAGGACAGGCTGTCAAAACTGTCCAGCTTCAGGGCAGGGAGGGAGGTGGCCGTTTCCAGAGGTCTCCCCACCGACAGAATCACGCCGGACGCGCAAGACGCGGCTGGGCAGGGGAGCAAGAGAGGGGGCAACCCAGCCTCACCTCCGCGGCTGTGCCCGAGCTCCGGTCCTCCCTCCCGTCCAAAGGAGGCATCCATTATTAAAGATCACCGTAACCGCCGACCATACCGGGACGCCCACCTGCAAACGGCGTGGAGGCGGCGGCCCCGTCCCCACGGCCGCGTGTGCACGGGGCGCGTCCGAATCGCCCGGGGACCCGGCCCCCTCCCGCTCCCGCGCCCATCCCACAGCAGCCCCGAAAGGCTCCCAGCGGCGCCCGCGCCTTACCTTCATCCTCGAGCTCCAGTTTCTCCAGCATCCCTTCGGAAGCGGCCGGGGACAGAGGCGGCGCTGCCTGCAGGAGGGCGGGGAGGGAGACACAAGAGAGAGACGGCGGGATCAGCGGCATCTAGGCGCGGAACTCACCGGACCCGCGGCGGCATTCCCGGCAGGCGCCCACGCGAGGCGGGGCGAGGCGAGGCGCGGGCTCGAAGGACGCTCCAGGAAGGGGAATG